AGGTCCCCACTTTCAAGACTTTCAAAAACATGAATTAGAAAAAACAAAAGTGATTTGAAATAAAAATGTAAAGTTGTCAACGAAAAATAGAAAAATAAAGACAAGAATCAAAAAAAAAAAAAAAAATTTCTCGCTGGGCTACTGTGGTTTTTTCTAGTTTTACTTCCTTCCTTTATTCTTCCATTTTTCGTAGGCAACTTTACGTTTTTAGATCAAATCACTTTTATTTCTTCTCATTAACGTCTGGCAAGTCGTGAAATTGGGAGCTTGTTTTGGAGCGCTCGAAACCTGTTGACTGTTATTTCCAATTTGTAAATTTCGGAAACGAATGAAGTTAAGTAATATCACAACACTTGAGTTTCTTGGTATTAGTTATTTAATATGAATACGTATATTAATTTCAACACATGATTTTTTAATCCATTATAGGTACCTAGAGTTGCTTCAAAAGAGAAATAATCTTTTATTAAGCTAGTCTCAGGCGTACGAGAAAGATGTCTTTTTTTTAGACTAAAAATTTTTTGTCTGATTAAAATAAAAATAGGTTAAAATTATCTAAATTAAAATCGCTTATATAAGAAAAATGTTACGCAATCGAAATCCTATTTTAAACAGTAACCAAGATAGAAGATGCTAAAAACAATTTTATTTTTCAATTTCAAAACACAGGCGGGAAAGGTTAAATTTTATTACTTAATAACTGTTAAAAGACAAGAGTAACGCCCAATGTGTATAGATGTTTTTTGTAAAAAATGTATATAATTTGATTTTCACAGATAACATAGCATTATTACTTAGTAGCATAACAGTATCAATAAATATATTTCTAACTGAAAAGGTAAGTGATTTGTTTCATAAAAAAATTTATATTTTTTGAGGTATTATGCAAATTTTCTTATTTATGATCATAGGTTACAAACAAATATTATAATAAAGAACATAGTGAATTTAAATTAAACCCTTTTTCGTGCATGGCAATTTAACAAATTAAACCTAATATCACTAAAACATTAAAAAAAGAAAAAAATATTTAAGCTTTAAAGTTTAATAATATTTTCTTTACGAATCAAACTAAGTCATAGGTGTACTGGGTTTCATAAGCTTTTTGTGAAGTTACAAAATCTCGGAAGTCCTAGCAAGTGTTTATTTTTCATACTTGCTTATAGATTTCTAACAAAATAATAGATCTTTTATAATGCAATGAAGGTGCAAATAAAATTTCTCGTAAGGCGTGAGTGCTACTCCAATTTTGGGGAAAATTCTGAATCCAACTATTGCGATTTAGAAAAAACGCACACTTTATCATTTCTTAGAACAAAATTTCAGAGGTAAGAAAACGTTTACCAGTAGAAATTCGAATTCATATTTTGATATTCATAGATGGAAAAAAAATTGTCAAAAATGTTCTTATCTTTAGCACCAATTAGCTTTCTATAAACTAGGGGCCAAATCTTGAAACCAACGAATGTTTTTAAAAAATTGATCATAAACGAGATGGAAAAATAGGTTTTCTAAGAAAAAACAGGACTCACTGCATCCCAAAAAGAAAGTAAATTCCAATTAACTGTTCTATTTTTGAAAAAGGGGGGGAAAAAACTTTATATAAGGATTACAACACAAAAATGAAAATTTTCTCCCTAAACCTTGGATAGCATTCGAACAGCAATATAAATAGATTTTAGTAGGAATGGTGCAATTTTTTTTTAAAAAAGTGAAAATTAATATGTATAACATTAGAATTAAAAACAACAAAAATTTTAAGCTAAGATTTTTAAAAAAAATCTTTCACTCCTATTTTTAAAGCGGTTTTCATTGACTTATTATTTCATTTCAACATCAATAAATAGCCATAGTATATTTTTTTGAAAACGTGTATTTTATAATTTAAGAAAACTTCGTTATTGATTTTTTTCAAACAGATTATATCAAAGAGAAACTTGAAATTATAGAATATGTTTTGGAAGTAGGAGGCTTAAAATAAAATAAAAATATAACAAGCAGAGTTATATTATCATCCGTAAAATGTATGTATTTGTAAAGACAAACATGAGGTTATTAATTTCAAACTCAATTCAATCTATTTTTAGAAATCTAATGAAATAACAATTAAATTTCTGAATATAATTGAATTTAATTGAATTTTAATTTAATGACATCCTGCAAAAAATGATTTTTTTGTTTTAGTTCAATTTTTTTCACAATTAAAGATTTTCGTAATCAATAGAAAGTTTTTTAGCATCTATATATAAACTGATTTTTATATAAACCAACTTAGCGTAAATTAATAATGGTCTCTGTTACTTTTGATAGGGGGGAGGAATACGACAAATGCCTTACTTAGCATTTGATCAACATTTCTTCAAAAATTGATTCATATAAATTACTTTATTTAAATGTGCTATTCATTTTTTATACTCAAATTGCAACTATTTTTATGTAAAAATTAAATACTTGGTACATACAGTAAAACATGCAAAATAATTTTTGAAAACAAAAAATAAACCGTTTTACTTGAAATCGGAGAAAAAAAATTAAAAATAGGCATAAAAATATGGATTGGGGAAAACTATTAATATAAATGGGCTACTTTGATTTTGAAAACTAACCCCCGATAACAAGCAATGTCTGTCGTTTTGCAAAAACAACGATTATTTATCTTTGACAGTTATTTAGCTCAAAAATATTGAAAACATTGGCAAAACATGGGTTTGAATTATACCAAGACATGTTACTATTCCAAGTTAAATTGTTATCATTTTCCTAATACCGCGTCCATCATATACATACAATGTATGTATATGACGAACTTTTAGGAAAAATCTTGGAAAATGCGAACAAATTATAAAAAAAAGTATTAAAAAAAAGCTGTCAGAACAGTTTTTAAAAAAATCAGTAGCAGAAAAGAAAAATGAATGTCAAAATAAAAATATTAATTTTCTAATACATACGATATGAATTTGCATGGAATATTTCCACATTTTCTTCACCCAGCTTGATTAATATTGTTAAGGCATTCAAATCATGATTTTTTTATTATTTTTTGAATGCAGCATTGTGAGATATGAGTTTTTCCGTGAGACTAAATCATCGCTGTCCGTATTAACAGAGTATTTGGCTCTAGTTGTTTTTTCCGCAGCACGCAGTATCCTATTGATTTGACAAATTTCGTGCAAGGAACTTTGACCTTATAAATCAGTCAAATGGTCGCTCGGAATCAAAGGTCAATAATGATGAACTAAAGATCAGCTTATGAGGCAGCAAATTACTGCAACCAAATGGACGTAATGGTGCGAAAACAGAAAGAATAAGTGTCTAAATTGGTCAGCAGATTAACTCCTATCTTGTAGCATGATAATGCTAGACCGCACATTGTACAAATGACTACAGTAAAACTATAGAAATCGGAATTAGAGCTTTTATTCACATTTACTAGATCTAGATCCTACTGTTACTATTTACCAATTTAGAGCAATTTTTTAATAGGAAAACAATTTAATTTTGACAATACTCTAAAACTGGTCCTCCAGAAAAAATTGGCTGTCTTCGGTTTGGATTTTATACCATCAACCTGTAGTTTAAATAGCGAAAGTAAATGAACAATATGGGAGCTTATTTTAATGAATATAACTGCTCCTTAAATTTAGAGATATCAACCAAGTTTTACTTTTTTTGTTTTCTTTTTTAAAATTTAATCTTTGAAATTATAGTTCTAATTATTCTTCTATATATACTTATAATTATTATATATATACTTATAATTATTATAATTCTTCCTTGAATATATAGAACAGAAATATTAATGCAATATCCATTAATAATTCAAATATTAATCGCCAAGATGTTTTCGTGAGGGAAAAAAAACTTGCAGTAAATAATCTATCGTTAAGAAATAAAGATATTGTAGCTTACACTGCACATCAATTATTGGGTCCTTTTATTATGTTGGTACTTATAGTTCTCAAATTGCATCGAGTCAACTAATTTAGTTAAAATAATAATATAATTATAATGTATAAGAGCAATTTTAATTTTTCAGAAAATGCGATTAATTTTTTATGTTATGTAAAGTAGTTGCTGAATCTTTAGTGTATAAAATCACATTCTATATTGCATCTACTGTCTTTCAAGAAGTAATTAATATGTTTATAATTTAACAAGCTATTAATTGGTACAGATGTGAATGTTTTTAGTTAGCTAGAGAAAAAAATCAGAAGAAAAAGAGTTAGAAGAATTGAATTCTTGTGTTCGAAAAAAATAAAAACAATCTCAAATCATCAAAAATGTTACGAAATGAGAAAAAAAAAAGAAAAAAGAAACGCTAGATTTAAATTTTTTAAATTTTGCTTTTCTATAAAAAATTCTAAAACAATTTTTATTTATTTTTGTAAAAAATAAATAATAATTTCCCATTCTTTTTCCACCCGAAATATATCGCCCTTTAAAACTTGAATATTCGAAATAATTGCATTAATTAATTTACGAACTGAAATAAAAAGAGAATAACTTGCTTAACATTGGAACAATTGTTAAAATAATATTTAATTTTTCGATTGTTTAATCAATGTTTTTTTTTAAAGTATTTTTATCTTCTTAAAATAAATTCTTAATAAAATTTATACAATAAATGTTTGTTATAGAAAATGATATTGCGACGTTGCTCTTTAAAATTTGAATATGGAATCATTTATATCGAATGATACAAATACATAAATTTAATTATAGGAGTAAATTGTAAAATTATAGATTTTAGACGTTCTGATTCCTTTTTACCTTTTTTTTTTTTCTTTTTAATTAATGTGCAATGATTATTTTTCGTAAAGCACATATTTATTATGTTTCATCTAATCGCACCACCCTTTTCTTTCATCACTTATGTTAAATGATATTGGACACTCAATTTAATTGCTTTTTAATCAATATTTGTTCACTTTCTTGTAAATAATGAATTACATTCAAATTAAATGTAGACAGGCAGCGCTTGTTCAGAATAAATCACTCACCTTATTGAAAATCAGTCACCAAGTTATGATGCCAAGAAAAAGAAATAAATCCCCGATGGATATCCGAACTGTTGACGGTAGCACCAACATGGCCTCTTCCCCGCGGACTCAACCACGTGGATCTGCGGCTTTGCAACCTCCTTCACTTCTGTCTCCTTCCCCTTGGAAGCACCTGTCTCTGACCACGCCCACCTCTTCAAGACGCTTCAGGTTGCCAAGGCGATAGACGTCGCCAACTCCTGAAATGGGAAAGAACGGACGAGTGAGTCGCCAAGCAGGTGAAAAATTGGTACTTGATTAGGGTTGCCGTCGCAGTTAGGGAATTACTCAAGATTTAGAATGGGGAAATAAATTTTTGAAGAGGTAATTAAAACAACGTCTGCTGAACTAATTTCTAACCCCTTGAACACTATGTTCATAAAGCACAGCCTCTAAATTGGGGAGGCTGTTTTATTTTTGATACTAAAAGTTCGTTATTTTCCGAATCTCAGGTATTTTGGATTAGAAAGCTAACCGTTCATCATTAACAGATGACTGATTTTGCATCTGATGGGAAAATATAATTAGATTTTCTAAGTTTATATTACAGATACGTTTCTGAGGTCTGAGGATTAATTTGCACACAAATGAAAACTTGCATAACTGCAAGCTTAAGACGCTGGAAAAAAAAAGTTCATTAATAAGAACCTTGTTATTCAGTTAAATAAATCATCAGAATTTCGTGACTGATTTATAATTGCAAGGAAATATTTTAAATATTTTTATAAAATATAAATCCCATAGTTGAAGAAAAAAATTCGTTTTTAAATCATAAAATTACAAATATCTGACAATTTCAAGAAGAAGAAAAAATAGCAGAATATTTTACTAATGTTTCAAAACATTATTCATAATACTACATTTTTGTCTAAAAACAATGTATAAGGATGATCTAAAGAAATTGAAAATACAATTTTAAGGCAATAGAAAACATATGTTTCGTCGTGGTACTTTACTCCTTACTGGATCAATAATGGCATCAAAGCATCATCTTAATTTCACTTATTTTTTCCAACACCACGCATAAGGTGGCAAAAATTATTTTATAGTTCTTTTCTTCTTCTATTGTTGTAACAATTGCAATTAACTTAAATTTAACAAATATCATAATTAATGAGTATAATTATACCTGGGAAAATCAAAATTAAAACGTATCCGTATTATTAATGGTTAAATTATTTTATTAAACTATTTTAAAGAAGAATTTAGGTGAGAAACCGCATTTAAATTCGTAAGAATTAAATTATTAAATTAAATAATTTAAAATCTTTAAATAAGCATTTTAAAAATCCTTACAGTCGAAACATTAGTGCATTGAGCACTCATGGTGTATGAAATATTATTAATTCTTATTATAATGCTTAATTTTCTGAACAATGACAACATAAACTATGCAAGAAGCTTAAATATTAAAATTGCAATTTATTTTTTGTTAAAATATGTCTGATGAGCAAAAAAGAAAATAGTAACAATAGTTCAAACCAAGCATTTCTTTACGTAATAAAGTAAAATATAAAACGCATGTGGCGAAAAATTAACAGATGTAAGGAAAAAAGTAATTGCATAAATTTAAACACTAAAAGTGTAAATTTAAATACTTAAAAATCTAAGAATAAAAGAAAAGGTTATCACTTTAATCATAGATTATTGGTCGCACTTAAAGCTTACACTTCGGAACTAAGTCTATTTGCAGGCATACAGCAAAAAATTCCCTATCAAATTACTGTAAAAAGTACCGGAACTCAGACTACCGGTACTTTTTATCGTAAAATCCATTTTTACAGGAACATAAATTCTGATCATGGAACAAAAATTCTGATATACAGTAAAATTTTTTGTAATAATAACTGTATCACTCTAATTAAATGAAAATTACTTTAAAATTTACGGTACAATATTTTAGGGTAAAAATGGATTTTACGATAAAAAGCATTTTACAGATGCTACACCATAAGTGCCAGTACTTTATACCGCAATTTGAAAAAAAAAATTTTTTACAATGCAGCATCGGTCGCATTTAGAAAGCTTAAAATCTAAAAATTATATTTGCATGTGAAGCTAATCGTACTTCAGTTTAAATCTTGAAAATATACAATAGCAATTTGGATGATTAAATCTTTAAAGTCTTTTTTCAGCGTCTAATAAGCGCATTTTATACTTTACATATCTATTATACGCATCGTATATATATTATTGGGTCCTNCCATAAAAAAAAAATTCTCGTACTAATTTTAAAAAATTGATGATTAACAAATTAAATAAACAAATAAATTTAACAAAATTACTTTTAGTGTTTTAAACAAATTTCTCGAATCCCATATACAATTTCAAATATCAAATAAATTTGCTTATTTTTAACCATTTTTACACATTATTATTAGAATCTAAGAGTTTCTACACTCTATCGGAAGTGATGAATTATAAAATCATAAAATAAATTGTCATTTTGCTTTTTAATAAAAAATCTCACCCCATTATAATGAGAAAACATTTTAAAACTAATTTAAAATCCAACTTGAGGAGTTAATACTCGTTGATCCGGCATTGTAATATTAAATTAGATTACCTTCAAACCCACAAATAATCTTTGTGCATCAGTATTTGACGATGAGGATATCTTAATAAATGGGTTGTTAAATGTACAATGCCTGACTGACTAATATCAGCCCCATTGTGCATTCAGGAATGCATCCTTTATCTCCTTTGCATAACTACGTTAGTCATTCGATGGAGTTCCATGATAGAGTTAATGCGGATTACGTGAACACATATATTTTGTTCCTTAACTACCAATACTGCGCAAAGTATCTTTCATTGTACCTGATGCATACTCTTGTTAACAGAAGAAAAAAGTTGACATTTTTATATGAAAAACAGTACGATTTGTCTTATATTTTATTAAATTGCGCAAATTATATTTTTACCAAGATAAGGATTTTCAAATTTGTTGATTTGTAATGAACTTCTTCAATATATATTTTTTTAGAGTCCGTGGTGAAAATGTTGTTAAAATGCATGCATTTCGACGGTTGCAAATTGAGGTTTAAGCAATGGATAAACAAAACGGTAATAAACTTTTGAATCATTGCCCAAGTCAAAATTTTTGATGGTTTTCCATTGATGGACAACCATAATCTTGATGGTAGCCATCATGAACCCTTATATTTTTGGATGGAAACCAACATAAGTACCCATCACCCCAATGTAGGAATTCGGACTGATTTATGATGGTCCTAAATAAGAATAGCAACTTGTTTTGATGGTTTGTTCATGTTGAACGATCACGAATTTCCATCATAGTTTCTTAGTAAACAAATGTTGGAATGATCATGAGCAACCACCATCCCAAAGTAGAAATTCGGACAGATGTATGATGGTCCAACATAAACAACCTGAAATTGTTCTGATGGTCAAACTTCTCTTTATGGTTAACCATTATAGTATTAAAGTAGCGTTTTCCATCACGAAATGATGGAAGTTTGTTGGCATGTCAAAAAACATGAACGCATAACGGAAGATTCTGGATGATGGTGACCATCAAATGATGTTATACCATCATGAATCACACTGAAACCAACATAAATCATAAACACGGAACCATCAAGAATTTTGATTTAGTGAAATAGACGAAGTAAAAAGAAAGAATTTTATTGTCTGATATAACATGGAAGCGCTTTTAAAAATCGTCTTCGAACTCCATTCGGTTTTTTAACCTTCAATGAGTTGTCCCAGGTTCGAATCCCAACGATGGCTAGACGATACGAATTCCGCTCCCGGCTCGCACCGGCAACAGTGTTGATGTAAAATATCCTCAGTGGTAGACGGATCATGGATTACAGTCCCCTTGCCGTTAGGCTAATCATGGGAGCTTTTCGTGGGTTTCCTCTCCTTGTAACGAAAGTGCGGATTAGTTCCATCAACGAAAGTAAATTTCTCCCAATACTTGATCCAGGAGTTCCCTTGTCTTCTTGATTAGGTTCAAAATTACATGGCTACGGAGTTGAACATTAGTAGTCGTAAACCCATAAAAATTGGGTCGGCAATTCAACGACGGTTAAAAAATAAATATAAAATAAAATAAAACACACTTAAGTACTTACAGTCCCATCTCTGTTGTGTCTCATAAGAGTTTTTTGCTGTTTTCTCGATTAAATATTATTTTGCTACCTCTTATGTGTATCCATTTTTACTTTTCTTTTTTCTTTGACAAAGTTCCAAAAATGCACATTAAGGAACGACTTTTGCATTTTACCAGAGGATAATTTATAAACTAGAATAGAATTATAAAGATATTTGATAAGTATTTACTTTAACAAGCTGGGAACGTGCAAAGGTGTGTAATGTGATATTTAAAAATGAATCAACGCGTCGTAAGTTGCCAATTTGACTACAAAAAGGGCAAGCTCACCTGCTTCATTTTTAAAGAAGTGATATGAATCTAGATATTAAAAAATGATATGAATCTAGAACTAACATATAATAAAAAAATATACATATATTTATAAAAAATAATTTTATAAAAAAGAACAAAACGCAACAATAGATACATTGATAAAGAAACAAAATTAAAAACTCGATAGTTGCTTTATGGGTCAAAGCTTATTTTTATGCAAAATTGTAGGAAGTTAACTCTAATTCGTCGGAATTCCGAGAGAGAAAGGGATATAAGTGTTGCGTAAAAAAAAAATAAAGAAGTAAAAAAAAGGAGAAAAAAGAAGCTTTTATGTGGAAGCAAAAGTATAGTAATAAAAGTGAACAAAATGCTTAATTACATCCATAATTTTAATCTAGTGTACAATAATTTTAATACAATTTAAGCTACAATGTAATATAGTTTAATCTAATCGGAAATAATTTAACTTAAATTAAGCTGTAGTACATTTTGAATGAATTCCTTTGTAGTAATGTGGTTCAGTTTAAATTGTAATATTGTTGTAATATTGCAGTAATGTTTTACTATGCAGGCATTAGTGGCGTGTAGAATCACAACAATGTTCAAATTTTTTTGCTTTCTTATTACAATTCTTAGCTGGCTCGTATTTCTTTAACTTAAATACTGGAAATTTTAGTTCAATGTAATAAGTTCTTAACTATTAATATTGTTCCATTTAAAACAAAGTTATGGTTTCACTGTAAAAATTATGCAATTAATGAAATAACTATTAATTAATTATGTTAAAGTAATACATTTAAAGTAAAT